ACGCGTAAAAAGACCGTATAAGTCATTATAATCCGTAATTATGTCCCCACTGGATGCAACAAATGCCTCATTTATAATGGGTTTTAATGTTTTTGAATCATTGCTCCGTCCGGGACACGGCATCACAGTATGTTAAGGGGCGTAACATTTCCGTCACACACTTGAGGTATTCGGCCAATCACAGCGCACTGGATAGCTGGCCAATCAGAGCACACCTCGCTTTTCAGACCGATGAGCTTTGTAAAAATCGACTCGTTTCAGAAAGACTGGGCACAGAGGAGAAGCAATAATGTACAGTATGTGGAAAATAATGTGTTTTTTGAACTTTAAACCGCATAAACACATTTCATTACACCAAATACACAAAATAATGTTCTTTTTAGCAGCATCATATGACCCCTTTAATATTTCACAATATTACTGATTATACTGTACTTTTTGATCAAATAAATGCAACTTTGGTGAGCATATAACCTCTTTAAAAAGCATTAAACATTTTTAGCAAACTTGACAACATATTTATATACACTTTCCCTAATACATTGATATATATGTTAAACACTAAATCTTAGCTCATGGACATTTTTATGTATAAATTCTAGTAGATACAAAGTGGTGAAATTAAAAACGGGGTATGAAGTACACACACAGAGAGTGGTGCATGTTAAATGAGTAAGATTTGGTGTAAAGGGAGAAGGCAAACATTGTATGAGGGGCTGAGCATGAAATTGGCTGCCCAGGGGCCTGAATTAGATTAGAAACCTGAGCTCACAAACATACGCTCACAGGCCAAAGCAAAGAAGACATGAAAATCAATCAGCCTTACATGGATCAGAGAAAGTTGGAATAAAAACCTGCACCTTAGAAAAGCTTCGTGCTGATCACTAACAGATTGCTACACTCCACCGTTTCAGTAAAGAAGGCTGGTTTGTGACGCGCGCACACACACACACACACACGATCATTTCATCATGTGCTTTCCATTTTTTCCCTGCATGCCTCAGCTCTCAGGACCATGCGAGAACCATTTGCTCCTCAACGGCTGCCTGTTTCACACTACAGTCAAAAGAGAGAGAAAAGCAGCACACTCTCTCTCTCTCTGACTCACATAGGCTACTACCATTCCAAACTCTGGGTTTAGGATAGTGTTTGTGGAAAAAGAGTCTTAAGATCTGGTAGAAATATGAAGGACAATTACAGACATATGGATTACATATTTGAATAACAATGAATTATTGCAGTTGCTTTTATGCAAAAACCTGCTTAAAGGGACAGTTCATCCAAAAAAGAAAACTGTCTTCATTTACACTCCCTCATCTTGTTTCATACCTATAACTTTCATTCTGTTGAACACACAAAAAAGACATTATGAAGATTTTTTTGTCCTTTTTGTCCTTACAATCAATGTCAAAAACAACATTAGACTTCACTGGCTTTCATTGTAAGGACAAAACATTTTTTCAAAACAATATTCCGTCTTCCACTTAAGAAAAAAACGTTGTACTGGTTTGAAACAACATGAGCGCGAGTAAATGACAGAATATTTATTTTTAGGTGAACTACTCCTTTAAATCCAAAACATATACCATGAAATTAGTTTTTCTTTCACCTCTGAGCTAAATAACGTTTATAAAGAGAAGAGGAGTATTATTTACAACAACTTTAATTCGAAACAGAGGGACAAACATGAGTATAGAAGACATGAAAGAGAGACTAGTGGCTACAAATATTCTAGATACTATATAGAGTACCAAATTTTGAAACACAAAAAAAATGTAGATTTGCTTAAATACAAATATATAATAATGTTCAAATACAGATTTTTACAAATATTCTGTACAATGTTTTAATTACATTTAACACAACTGCCTGCCATATATTAGATGACAAGCTTTCAAGCTCTCCTCCCCCCATGGCTCTCTTTGCTCTGTCGTTTGTTGAATTCCCAGCTGGTATCTCATTTTCCAAGTTGAGTTTTTATGGCCAGCAGCTTATGAGAAAAAACAGGGGGCAACAGAATGGGGGAGGAAAACATTTCTGCACTTGGTATCAAATTGGCCATGTTTGTTTTGAGGCATTCAAGTGGTTTACATCCCATTTCTCTTTCCACTTGAAAGTCTCTGAAAGTCTGACAGTGTAAAAGTGTAGCTGCTTTCAAAATACTGACGATCGAAGGCACTTTATTATGTTTTTGAATTTCTAAAATCATTATTGCATGATCTCCAGTTTCAAACGGTGGTCTCCCCTTGTCCGCCACTGGTCAAACGCGTGTAGAACTTCTTCCAAGAGTGCAGCGTCTTCCCCGACCAGATCCAGAATCCCGAAGTGATCCCTACAATGAGAGTCATGAGGTACTTGATCATGAAGACGGTGAAGTCGGGGGTCATGAGAGGAGCGGGTTGCATGGGGCACGGGATGGCCAGGCTCTTACAGTTCGTACTGATCCAGCTCTTCTCCCAGTGTTGCCTGAAGGCCTGCTCGTAAAAAAAGCAAGCGATGACGATGGTGGCCGGGACAGTGTAAAGAACCGAAAAGACACCTATGCGGACCATCAAGCGCTCCAGTTTCTCGGTTTTGGTGCCATCGTGCTTCATGATGGTGCGGATGCGAAACAGGGACACGAAGCCGGCCAGCAGGAACGAGGTGCCGATGAAGAGGTAGATGAAGAGAGGGGCCAACACGAAGCCCCTCAAGGGATCCAGATTGTTCAGGCCCACAAAGCAGACGCCACTTAACACGTCTCCATCGATTTGTCCCATGGCCAGGATGCTAATAGTCTTTACAGCCGGAACGGCCCAGGCGGCCAGGTGAAAGTACTGTGAATTGGCTTCAATAGCCTCATGGCCCCATTTCATACCAGCCGCCAGGAACCAAGTGAGAGACAGGATGACCCACCAAATCGAAGACGCCATACTGAAGAAATACAGCATCATGAACAGAATTGTACACCCTTCTTTCTTCGTACCTTGAACGATGGTTTTATAGCTATCGAGAAAAAAGCTCTCGTTGCACACAACTTTGTTCCCAAGAAAATAACCAGCTATATACGCAATGGAAACCATGGTATAACAGCCGGACAAGAAAATAATAGGACGTTCTGGGTACTTAAAACGTTGCATGTCCACTAAATATGTGGTTACAGTGAATAAGGTAGATGCACAGCAGAGGGAGGACCAGATGAGGATCCAAATCCGGGCAAATTCAATCTCCTGGTCTGTGAAGAACATATAAACCCGTTGTGTTCTGGAGGACTCACATGGAGCACCACAATCCAGCTCGCCCAAGAACTTATAACTGAGGTAGGAAGGCACCTTTAGCACTGACGGGCAGCGGAACGGTTTGTCCAACGAGGAGTACAGCTGAATGCCAGGCGTTCCTGGAACGGGCATGTGGACGGGCGACACAGTAGCCGTGGAGTCGTTCTGGCCCACACAGATGTGTCCGTCTCCCAGCACGGGGAAATGTTCGCATCTCAGCCGCTCTGGCCACTGAAAACCAAACTTGTTCATGAGGGCCTCGCAGCCGTGCTTTGCCCTCTCGCAAATGGAGCGGCACGGTGGGATGGCTTTCTCCAAAACTGTGCACACTGGCGCATACATGGAGCACAGGAAGAATTTGAGTTCAGGAGAGCACTGTACCTTGACCAGCGGGTAAAACTGATGGACCTCCAGCCCCGCATCCTCTTGGTTGTAGTGTCCGACCAGATTTGGCATGATGGTTTGATTATAAGCGATGTCCGTGCATAGGGGGATGGTTATGGGCTGACAGAAGCCGTGGTCGGGAACGGCTATCCCACTGTCTCCGTGATATTGTCCAGACGCCACGAAACAGCACGGCAACACCAGTGCCAAAAACAGACACAAGCTTCCACCCGCCTGCATTGTCCCGGAAAGTTCCGCCTAACTTCCACTGAATAAAACGTGACTCCACAAACTACGCTTTGGGGGACATATCATCTGCTAATCGACAACAAAGAGTCTCGATGAACTCGCGAGCTAGTAGAGACAGCATACTTTGTAGGGAATATCTGTTGCGCGCAGGAGCGACTGCATGACTTTTCCCCCTTTGTCTGTCAGACTGTTTCAAGTTCCCCCTGGGCTGCCTGTTGCTGACTTTGAAGGGTGTATGTCCTCAGGAGGAGGGCATTCGGGGGTCTTGAAACAGATTTCTACTCTAAAGCCCCATCGCTCATATCTGCCATTAGTCATCTGAAAACCTAGAGCATTTTTTAAAAAGTTTTATTCGGGTAAGAAGTTATGGTATCAAAGAATGAGAGAACGTGAATTTGGAAATTCTCTTTTCTGAAAAACGAAACAAAGCAAAACAAAACAAAACACGTATTATAAAAATAGCATCTATCTATCTATCTATCTATCTATCTATCTATCTATCTATCTATCTATCTATCTATCTATCTATCTATCTATCTATCTATCTATCTATCTATGAGATGGATAGTGGTGACATCTTGTGGCTATGTGTTGTTAGTAACATTCACCCTACGTTTTATTTTTTAAATTTCTTTTGCGGTTTTTTTATTGTAATAAATCACATTTTAAAAATGAGTTTAAAATCAAGTAGGTTATTAATACTGATAATAGTAATAACAGTGATATATATTAAGGATAAGAATATATAAACGAATGCATGTAGCGTTTATTTGTAGTATTAAAACAGAAGCGGCAAGAGAGAAATGATTGATTATTGGGAAATTAATTAATTAATTGATTGATTCGACTAAAGGGCTAACATACATGTCATTTAATTTTTTTCTGGAAATTTTCTTTCTGTATTTTTCCGTTACTAAGCCTGACTGCATCTCCGCTCGCGACCATTTGATGGATTCTGATTGGCTAATTGAAGGCGGTTTAGCCAATAGAAACGCGAGGAACAGTTGTCGGCTGGAGACCGCAAACTCTTGGCTTCGCGGGTGCATTGGTGAAGAGACACGGGCGAGGTCGCGAGCTTATCCGATTAATTTAAGTGAAAGACATTGGTCGTCTTTAATTTATTTTCACAGTAAATCAGCTGATTAATTAGAACAATCGTGAACAATATATATTTATAATTTGTATCACAAATAATTTATAGAGAGAGGCCCTCTGCCAGCAAAGTTCATTGTCAATGGAGGTAAGAGCTAATTCTGAGGAAAAACTTATGGCTAGTTCACTTTTTCTGTCTGCTTGTTATGTTAACTCAGGTACCGACCTAATACAGATTACCAGGTGTACACATACCTAATTAAAATATTAATTAGCATAATAAAGAGAGTAAAGGGCAGTGATATCGACTCATGATTAACTGTAAAGGTGAAGCCAGATATGTCGTATCATCCGGCAAAAGAAAATCCCCACAAGGCCTCATTGACTGCATGTAAAACCTGTGTTCTTTGTCCTGTCATTATTGTCCGTTATCATATAGTATAATTTTTACCCTTGTACTTAAAGGTTAATAATGCAGAGAAAAGCAAAATCAGTGTGGATACAAATGGAGCAAGAGCAGTCTTTGATCGATTTCATAATTCAGGGCCAGACTCCTACTTTTCCACAAACAAGCCTCAGGTGAGAAAGTCCTCTTCAAATTATGACTTTACTGCATAAATTAATTTAATAATACAATTATGACTTTAGTGTATAGATTTGCCAAATTAAGTTCCTCGTATGTTTGAATGCATAGTAATTGGCATAGTAACTACTATGTATTATTAGAGAAAATGTTAAATATCTATGGTTTTTCCAAATATAAAAGTTGTCAAGAGTGGTCTGTTGTATGTTGCTAAGATCTGCAAAATTAAATGACTAATTTTATTTGAATTGTAATACATTTTTAAATAGATAATTGAACTGGGCAGCATTTGTAATAACAGACTAACTAAATTGCACAGAGAATTTTAAGGACGTTCTTAGATTTGCTTATGTTCATACCCATAAATATTTTTGAAAATGTATTGTAAATGTATATATTGTATTTACTGTAGATGTACTGGAACAAATGCTGTGTTCTTGCAGAATAGCTTCAAAGGCAGTGGATTCTTGTCATACAACCCATTCTCGGACTGTCCGGTGCAAGACTGTGCACCACTGCCTTACACAGTTTGGCCAACTCCGGGAGAAGACTGTAAATCAGTGAATTGGCCTCAAGTCATACCTAATAACAGGTTTGTTTTATTTTTATAGATATTAATAATACTGTAAAAATTGGATGTTATATATTAACACGCTAATACTGTGAGTCAAAATGGATTTGTTATTAAATACTAAAATATTGTTTATCTTGCATAGAAATCTGGTAGATGCAAGTAATTGTGGGAGTGAGGCTGATCTTTATGGATTAGTGTCCGACATCTTGGAAGAACCAGATTCAATAGAACCATACTCCTCATATGTCTCAGAGAAGTAAGTCCCTTTTGATTTATTTTACAGAAATTAACCTGTAAAGCTAATTATTACTGATTAGTGTAAAAATGGCTAATTTCCAATTCAAATGAATTGAATAGTATTTAATGTTGTAGATATCTCTTATGTAAAATAAATAATAGGCATATGTGAGGTTTGCAATTTTTCTCTTAAAATATATTTATGCAACATCACACTTTACTCAAAAATATCAGATGCTACAGATTCTAATACGGCATCAAAACTAGATACATTAGTCATGGGAAATGCAAATACAATATAACAATATAAATGCAGTAACAAAAGGATTTCAAAACAATTTTACATGACTCAAGACACATTAAATAATGTGCCTTTAAATTACTTTACATTTACTGTGCATCCTGTCTGTATTTGATTTATGAATAATTAACATGTAAAGAGGAATTTTCTCCATAACTGACTGCTAAAAGGGTGCTCCACTATAGTGACTTGTATGTGTCAAATTATATAAATGCCCTTACATTTAAAATAAATAAGCATATGCTAAACATTTAATTAACTGTTTTGTGTTAACATGTTATGACAGCTTTAGTATTTTCACAATTTAATCCAAAAATCCATCATCTTATTTTAAAATTGATGCAAAAAACAACAACAATTTGTGTTGTTTTTAGTAGGCTACCATCTAGTCTGAAAGGTGTGTGGTCTCCAAAGTTAACAAGAGAAGAGAGGATGCATTACTTCAGTAATGAGGTACAGATGCCGCCCATTTCTGGATTCCCATCAAATCAGATTTGTCCTAAACCAGTCAGCAATATTTCTCCTCAGTCTGCAGGTAGAGAATCTCATCAGTGGGCTGAACTTCAGAATTGTAATGGTTTTGATTCTTTTGCACTTCCCTGCAATTTCTCCTCTTGTAATGGAGAGGCTGACACATATTCTCCTCAAGATCTTCCTCGCCCCCCAGGCCTGAACATACCCCCAACTTTAAGCTCTAGCCTCTACCAGACCAGGGCTGGTAAACCTGAGTTTCTTACAACTGAGAAGGATGAAGGATACCGCAGCACCACTAACTGCCTGTCTGATTATATAAACACAGTCAACAACTCTGGCTGCCCTCCACAAACAATGGATGACTCCTATTTCAGTTCATCTCATGAATTTTCATCTGTGAGCAAAGATAAACTGAAAAACACCCAATCGTTCTCTGTGCAGGATGTCAGTAAACTGGCCTTTCTCTTGGCAGAGCAGGATATGAACTATTGCCGAGAATCTACCCAGAATGGGCTTTTTGCACAGAGGAATCTTGAGGAAATCATGGCAGAGCAGAAGAGTCATCCTTTTCAAAGGATGTCGGAGCTTATTACTCAAACACCAGATTTTAAGAGAGAGGTGACACGCAACCATATGGAGCAAAGAAGAGCTAAAGTAGTGGATAAAAAACAAAGTCATTATACTATGCATGAATTTTCAGGGTTTGGGCCACCAAATACTTTTTCTCCTACCATCTTGCCTCCAGCCCTTCACCCAAACAAAGAAGCCAGCCTGATAGGAAGCAGCACCGCCCAAACCAGTGTAAAGCAGTACCAGCCTAACCAGTTAAACCATTACCAAAAACAAGCTACGATTTCGGCAAAGACCAACAGCAACAATGAATCACATGGTTTTGCAAAGCTCACAACCACATCAGGGGCTGTTCCATTGCTTCCTTCTCAGCAGTTGTTCCGGCCTGCAGCGAGAGTCCCAGCTGATTTGAGTCAGGGGAACACAGTAAATCTACATGGTGCGATAGGCCAGGTCAGTCTTGAGAAGTTAAGGAAGGGAGCAGGAAATGTGGACATTTCAGATTTTGACCTCCAGCTAGAGAACAACAGGTTGTCGGCGGGCCTTATGGTCGATGGGTGTTTTTATCAGCGATTTAACACGAAACCCAAACTTCCCGGTTTCCCTAAAGAGACAGACACAAAACCAGGACTCCGTCAGTATCCATATCAGGGGCTGGGCAGTTTGTATGGAGGACAAATGAGACACAATGGAGCGAGTTCAAACTCAGCCAAAGCTACACCATCACAACTTTTCCCATTCCTATACCAGATGGGTGATCCCAGAAAAAGCGCATGCCACCCGATTCAGTCACAGTCCCAGTTGCCCTACTGCTCTGTGCCCCTCATCGACATGAATGAACATCTGCCAGATGGAGATAATTCACCCTTCAGCCCCTATCTACAAGAATGTATTGGGCTAAGCCAAGCATCCAGAGATGGGTTGTTCTCCGAGTTTCTGTCGGACACGACTTTACCTAAGTTTGGCAAGGCATTCGGAAGCCCCAACAGTCAGCTACACTTTTACCTGGAGGAATGTTACGAGCAGTGGAGGATGCTGGAAAAAGAGAGAAAGCAAGTAAGTGTGAGGTTTTTGAGATATAAGGGTATTCTTGTATTCCATGTATGAATTTTCAGGTACGTGCTGCAGTGTTGACATATTTTTGTACGAAAATAAGAAAAATAACCTCAGTGACCAACAAAAGTTTATGATTCTTACACATCATGTTCCTCATGATAATTCTCTCAAATCAACACAACTTTATTTTGAAACCTATATAGAATCAGTAGAAGTAAAAAGCTAAATATAGGCTAGAAACAAAAACTACTTCAATGTCACCGCCAGTAAGCTTCAGACAACTCTTTATTTAAAAAACATTTTCACTGAAACATTGAGTTGGACTAGTTTATAAGAGTGTGATTATAAACACACAGAAAAAAAACTGTAAAAGTAGACTAGTGAGTAGATGAAGTTTCCTATTTGGCATGAAGATGTTTAATGTCCCTGACAACTTCTGTAGGCCCATTTAGCCACTTGTTAGCAATTTCCGTTTTCAAGACAAGTAAAAGCTTGGGGGTAAAAAGCACAAAGGGGTATTACTAATGTATTATTATTATTTACTTTTTTCGTAAAACAAAACTTGAAATATCTCGAGCTTGTGTTAACCACAGACCTTATTTCAGGCATTTAACAAAAAAACAAACAAACAAACAAACAAATTGACCTCAGGATGATGGAACGGGGAGTGCTAATTTGTTTCTGGGTTTTGGCATACAAAAATACATCATCCATGCAGCACTCTATTATAGCCAAAACAGTGATTTCTTTTAAGAAAATAATATATGGAAAAATAAATTACTTACTGAGTTGTCAAACTTGTACAGATTCTGTATTGGTGAATCATGCTATTAAATTTCCATGCAGTTTGCAGGCTGACCTGTTTTCATTTCACAAGCATGATGAGGTAAGAAACTAATGTAATGTGTTCTTTCTGACAGGCAGAAGCTGTTCTTACAAAGACTTACCCAGGAAAACGCGTGTCTGTGGTGACCAGTAGTGTTTTACCCAAAATGCCTCCAAACCCCTCCAGACTGGACCGCCTCATTGTAGACCAGCTGCGCGAACAGGCCAGGGTCAGTCCAGTATTTCTCATACAATTCTTGCCAAGGGTTTTCAAACAGGAGGCCACAAGGGAGTGCTAGTGGGCCTGCCTAAAAATTCAAAAAAATATAGTGTAAAAATGTAAAGAAAATAAATAAATTAAATGATTGACATTATTACGGTTTTATAAAAATCATGAGATCTATGAAATCATGAAAGAATAATCTAAATGAATTTATTTTGTTGGCATCCATAGTGTTATGTTGTCTTCAGGTTTTACATCTAATAGTACTGTAGTGGTGGATAGAAAAAATAAATGGTCAACTTCATAGAAAGTAAATATTTTACACACATATGTATAATTTCTATTTTTGCCAACAAACTGGTTTTGTATTTTATATACAATTAAATTGACAGTGTTTTAAACTATAGATGATATGAATTTTCCATATTATAATGCAGAATTGCTTTGTGTTTGTAGGTGGCAAGTTTGCTAGGCAAGATGGAACAGTTGCGCAGTTTTCCACTTCATGCTAATATCGGCTCAGCATTGGACAGGCATCTTGAGGTCATCTACATCACTCAGGCACGCCGAAAGGACGAACTCATCAGTGCTAACAGCAGACAGAGGCAGCCAGCAGCCTTCTTTAGAGAGGACAGGGGTTAGTGAGTCATACACAATAACAAAAGCAGGAAATACACTTACAAAAATACAAGATCTTATATAAACTAGTGTGAAGCCACAATCGTAAAGCTGCCTTTTCTTATCTTCAACAAATGACCAGTGATAGACCAGAAGTCATTAATTTCCAATGGAGAGTAGTGCGATAGCTGCGTGGAACACCAATCATATGCGAATGTGGAAATTTAGGATCCAATTTGAGCTTCGGATGTGTTAAAATATTTGAACTTCTGCGGCTAGACCGTATGTGACCGCCCGGCCGGATATGATGTATTCTAATTAAAACTGAGCGCGAGGTTAGAATTACCAATATAGTTCCACTTTAAAGTTATTCTGTAAACACTTTTTCTGTAAAATGTCGGTTTAGAATAATTATGGCAGAAATAATTATTTTATGGTAGTAATGGACCAACTACCACTGGTGGTGCCATGTTGATTAATTATATATATAATTAATATTAATTATATATATAATGTATGTATAAAAAAAACAAAAACAAACAAAACAAAAAAATATATATAAATATATATCAGGGTTCCCACGCTTCTTGAAAGTACTTGAATATCAAACACATGGATTCAAGGCCTGGAAAGTACTTGAAAACAAATATAGGTCCTTGAAAGTGCTTGAATTAAATTTGAAATAAATTTTATTTAGTAGAATGGTGCTATTTCAAAAAATTGTCCTATATGCGCTGTCCAAGACAAAACGAAACAGCGCTAATGATTGGGGGTGGAGATGGGGTAGCGTGAGAAAAAACATAGCATGTGAGCTGATGCGCAGCCCTGCGTGAGAAGCAGTGCATTTGCGACTGAAAACTACTGCGTGCGACTATGAAAAAATATTTAGGAGCACCAATGCGACTGACCCGATCAGCATATTTGTGTTTGCGCTCAGGGGCGCTTCAAAGGTTTCTAACTTACTTACAACGTGTTTTTGCAGCGTTGAGTAATGAAACACGACATACTAATATAGTAATATACATACTAATAGTAATATATCAACAGACATCTGTTGATTCCTTGAACACAACGGAAATCAGAATACACTCACTGCTCAAACATTGAAGTTTTGTTCAGTGCTGAGTTCTGCAAACTCACGAATCCTCTCGTTATAACAAACAAAGTGTAGACGGTGTAAATAAGAGATTCATTGTGCAGTGTAGGGAGCTTCGTCGATTATAATGGAACTTTGTGAGATCGCGATGAACTAAGGTGAGTGACCGCTTTTAATGATTATTAAGGGAGTTTGCAAATGTGATATTGATTTAATCAACACTTCAATAAACAAGAAATTGATATTAAGTGACTTACATTGTCTGACTACAACACTATTGCCTGATTTTGCTCTATTTCGTCAAAGAAAATAGTTTCAAACAAAGTCACAGCTGAGCCGCTGTGCATCTCCAAGCAAACACCGTGGTGTTTCATTTATGAATGAACTTGCGTTTTTAAACCAATCTGATTCAATTACCCATTCATAAAGACAGTCACTTGCTTCATTCCTGAATTAATCAGTCATTCGAACAAATCAATTGAATTAATGATTCAGTGATAAACTCAGTGATTTACCTCCACCTACTGGCAGTTTTACTTTCAAATTTAAAGTATCTTTTCTGTTATTTAATTAATTTAATATTTCTATATTCAAAATGTTATATTTAAAACATTACCTCAACATGAATTTATGAATTTAATTGCACTCATGCCACCTCTGAGCATCATTAAATGTCTGAAAATACACCTACAAGCCACTTTTGTGTTCTTCTGTGCCACCTCTGTAGTAAAATAATTGTTTAAATACTGATTTCATTTGATTGGTAACTTAATCTTATTCTGTTTAAATAATAAAAAAATGTAAAAAGCTTATAAATAATTTTTTTTGAATTTGACGTAAAAGATGACATACTTTTAATACAGTTAAAAAAATGCCATTACAAAGGTGTAAAAACAAAATTCCCTGTAAATCACTTTAAGTCAAATAGCATCTCGTAATGGGAAGGCTAATATTGATCAGAATTTTTGATTATTGATTAGAAGGTGCTCCTGACATTTTTGACTGCGCTCCTAATTTTTTTTTAATTTCAAAAGAAAAGAAAGCGTAGATCCCTGTTTAACCACTTTTTATTAATTTAAAAATTGAGAAATTCTTTCAAATTTAAATCTTTTACAAGAATTACAGCAAAAACCAGTTTGATGCAAGAATATATATTTTTATCAATATTTTTGAGAAATTGTATTTGAATATTACCAGTGTGAACTCCATTGACTTGAATGGATTTAATTAAATTCTTTTGAACACGACTGCTCAAAATGGTCTAAATTTATGAAAACTACACATTCAAAACCTCATTACTCTGAAATGTTTAATGTAAATGTTAAGTGTAAGTGAAATGTTAAGAACTGTAAGAGGTCTTTCACGATGCTACATATGCTGGGGTGTGAATTTGATAGGTGCTTGATATAAAATAAATGGTGCTTTAAAAAGTCCTTGAAAGTCTTTGAATCTGGTGTTCATGAAAGAGTGGGAACCCTGTTATAAATTGCAAAAAAAAATATATATATATATATGCAAAAACAATATAACAGTAGACTGATATAATGAAAACATTAAATAATCATTGAAAACATTTCAAATGTACGGTCTATAATCAGTGTTTTGACAGTTTAATTAGTGTCTCCTTCAATCTATTCAAAATCCTCCGCTAATTTTAGGTCCAGTGATACACACATTCAGGTAACAACAGTATTTATGATCAACAGGACGTGTTCCAGTTGTCCTTTTATTATTTTACTTATTTATAAACATGATTCTTTGGCATCAGTACTTGGTTTTTAGTGGTCTCCCTGGATAAGCAATGATAATCGCAAATCTTTCCTAAATCTGTTTTTGTTTTTTGGAAAATTTGAAAGTGAATTTATTTATTTGCAATTTGTTTATCTCAATTCTGAATTCAACTCAGTATTTCATTCTCTGTTTTTCCATGGATGTATGTATGTGGTCAATCTGTCTGATGTAACTCGTTAGAAGATATATTGAGTAGCTGAGAGTAACATCATTCATGGACTGAAATAAATGATGTCAACGACATGCTATTAGAAAATGCTAGACTGATATAGTTCATGACGTGTACTCATATTGCTTTTGTTTCTTTGCTTATGCTTTTGTTCAAGTTTAACAATTAAACTAACAAAACACAAAATCCCAGAACTCACAGAGTGGTGCATAAAACTACCGTTTATTTAATTAATCATTGATTCAAAATACAATGGTAATCAATGCTCTAATTAAACAAAAAAATGCAGATCACAGTCTGTATAAAACGAAACCACTGGTAAAATCATTCAGTAAAACTGCAGTGAATTTAACTGTTCACTTACAATAGTGTTTTAAAAGAACAGTGTTATGATAAACTTGCCAAAACCAGTTGGTTGGCCGAGTTATGAAAACCATTTGTAAACAAGTTCCTCACTCTCATTCAGTTCTGAAAATCCTAAACATTTACCCAGCAAATAATTAATTTTTCCTTAAATACCCACTGATATCAAGCAGTTGAGACTTAACAGAATAAACATAAACTGAAGAGTGTACCTTGCTAGATGATTTCCATTATAAAATCATTTGGATATTTTTCATGTTTGATACCTAAATATGGCCAAGATTTGACATTTAAGTTGCAGTGATGTAAAGAAAACCATCAGAGGTAAGCGAAGCAGTGTTTGGATAGATGAAAACAGTTTCACCAGTCATCAGTGTTTAAGAGTCAGAGCTCTTATTGCATAATAATAGAAGATTCATTGAGAATAATTATAACATCTTCAGCAATCGGCAGTGACACCCAGAGTTTACAAGCAAAGTATAGCTTCTGATGTTCCCTTTAAATCGAACGGAGTCTGTAGGATAAAAAAAGCATCTACCATTTGCCTAACAACATCAAATTTAAAAACTGCACCTTGTGGCTGTGGTAGAAAACCTAGTTATATTAGTCAAGAGTGAACACCTTCATTTACACAACTCAATTTATTGTACCAATTTCAGGATATTTTTGAGTACAAAATGTTAAATATTGTGGCTCTGATAAAAGAATGTCTCAATCACCTGATCTTACAAGTTAACAGACACGATCCCCCGGTTTCACAGACAAGGCTTAAGCCTAGTCCCAGACTAAAACGCATGTCTGGGCTGTTTACTGAAAGAAACTTGCGCAGACATATCTTAAAATATGTCAGTGCCATTGTTTGTCTCAGGATGCACACAAGTAATGTTATTTTCTAAGGCACGTTTATAAAAGATACTTAAATGTCCTAATTGAACTATGGCCTAATTCTGGCTTAACCTAAGCCCTGTCTGTGAAACCAGGCCTAAAGGTTTAAAGATATATTGGTTTGCCTACAGTGCAACCCAATGTAATATATGAGAACAGAAGGCAGTCCACAAGGTATTGGCACAATATGTAGCAGCTTCAAATGAACAGTTGTCAATTGATATATATGTGCACACACACATACCCTTCTCACTTTAGGTTCATCACTGTCCTACAATAAAAAAAATAAAAACACAATTTAGACAGGAACATCCACCAAGGGCAATAAACAAAAAAACTACATATGCCGCCCCTCGCCTTCTCTCCACACTGATTAGCAGTTATGTTTCTCTGTCTTTGGGTTGTCTCTGAGCCCTCTCCATATAATGCTACATGACGAGAAGGCTTCTGTTGGTTTCTGAAAAAGCTTGTGAGCTGAATAAATATAGATATATTTTTATATCTTGAGCTGTGTGTTAAAAATCACTGGAGTGCTACTGAGGAGCAGCCTATGGAAAACATAAAAACACAGGTTCACAGGTAATTTGAAAGTCCCTCAAGGCAATAAGATGGGGATTTATGCTGTTTTTAGACACAAGCATGTTGGTTATCCGCTGGTAAATGTTAGAGAGTGAATTTCACTTTTAACTTTTCTAAACATGTTAAAAAGTGAATCTCATGGAAACATGTCCAGGTCACTTTTAAATATATATATATATACACATTTTTAGTATAATTCTAAAAACGTTGCACCCTCGGGTCATGGTACACACGTCCTTTTGCTGAGAAATTTTTAATAAATGTATACAGTAAATGTAAAATCATGAAAAATAATGCATGTACAAAATATG